TCCCTGACGTGTCACCACATCAGCGCTGCCCGCAGGCTCTGCCGTGCTCACACCGCCCCTTGCAGCCACGGCAAAGCTCCTTTCCCCTTCCACGGTACTTTTAATGTTAAAGTAAACACCCCCGAGTGGTTTTAGATGAGTTGGCTTTGTTCGGGTAGAGACTGGAATTACAGAGCTCAGATCCTGTATGGGGCTCCAGTATGGGGCGTTTTTCTTGGAGAGAAACTGCTTCCAACACCATTCTTCCTTTTTTTTTTTTTTTTTAAGGGCTTTACTGGAGAATATGGCATATGGATCTTGTTCAGTCTGCAGTCCTGTACAGCGTCATGACCCTCATCAGTACCTATCTCGTGGCTTTTGCATATAAAAACGTCAAGTTTGTCCTCAAACACAAGTAAGTTCGGTGCCTCTTTGAATTTATCATTTAAAAATTTAACAAAACTGCCATTTACAACTGTAGTTTTTTATTAATAAGAAACGTTACTCAAAAAATATTTTGCACAGAAGTATCTACTGATTAGTTTTTCGTATTCTTTTGTAATTATAGTCAAATCTTGTCAGCTAAGAGTATGGGGAAATAGTAAATCTACCATCATGCTCCTTGGGTATCACCACAAATTATGTTTAAATTATAAATTATATTACTTATTGGATGTGAATTATATTACTTTTAGTAATTGCTGTTATTATTTCTTACCCCTTCACCTTGACAGAACTGTCGGGTATCTTGGCTAAGTTGTATTCTTCACTGTACAGAAAACTTCTGTAGTCCCAGGGCTGGGCTGGTGGGTTTTTTCATTTCTGAAGTGTGACATGAGTGGTGGTCCTTACAGAGTAGCCCAGAAAAGAGAAGATGCTGTTTCCAAGGAGGTGACTCGCAAGCTGTCCGAGGCGGACAACAGGAAGATGTCCCGCAAGGAGAAGGATGAAAGGTGATCTCTCTGTCCTCTTCCTTCTCTCCCTTGTTGTAGGGGTGCCTTCAGTGTCCGTGAGGCTCTGGGTGGGGCAGTAGGGACTGTGCTGGACACTGTTTTTCTGTGTTCTGGTGAGCAGCAGCTGCAGGGTAGCTCGTGGTTCAGCTTCAAGCCCTTTTGAGCTGAATTGTCCAGGGCAGGTCTCAGATGCACTGAGTGTGAGAGGGAATCCCCAGTGGGACTGCAGGATGGGAGCACTGGAGCCAAACTCTCTGTCTTCTGGAGAAACTACTGCACACTTCATCGTGTGGATGTGCCTGGATATCCCTCCCCATCCCTGGCAGTGCCCAAGGCCAGGCTGGACAGGGCTTGGACAGCCTGGGACAGTGGGAGGTGTCCCTGCCATGGCAGGGGTGGAGTGGGATGAGCTTTAAGGCCCCTCCCCACCCAAACCATTCCAGGATTCCGTGATAGCCATTGATTTAAATACATCTGAAATTCTACCTCCTAGGATTTATATTGATTTTAATATATTTGAAATTTGCTTCTAGGATTCTGTGGAAGAAAAATGAAGTTGCAGACTACGAAGCAACAACTTTCTCCATTTTCTACAACAACACTCTCTTTCTGGTCCTGGTTATCATCGCTTCCTTTTTCGTGCTGAAGAACTTCAACCCCACTGTGTATCCTTTATCCCCACCCCAAAACCCCCACAGCCCCACTCCTGTTAGCTGTCACCACTCGCTGTAGCTGTCCTGTGGGCTGTGGCATTCCTCTCTTGGCACCTGCAGCCCACTGGAGTACAGCAGCTTAGAATGTTGAAACAAAAACAAGAGTTTACCAAAAAAAAAGTCTCCCAGTTAAAGTCCCTTAAAACATGAGATGTTTTAAGGATATTGCTTGGACAGTATACAGGAATCCTCCTGGCTTTGCCATTTCCATTGTGCTTTTGGAGTGAGGACACAGCTCAGCTTCCTGCAAACGCTGTGTCAGTGTTGGTTGCCTGGAGCTCTTCCCTGACAGGATGCTTCAGCTCCAGTAACTCACAAATAAAATGTTTTTTTCCTGTAGGATATTAGTATTGCAAACAGGCTAGTTAATTCAAGATCTCT